CTCCTTCTTCTTCTCCTTCTTCTTCTCCTTCTCCTTCTCCTTCTCCTTCTCCTTCTCCTTCTCCTTCTCCTTCTCCTCCTCCTCCTCCTCCTCCCCTCCCCCTTTGGCCTTTCAGCTTGCCTGGTGGTCTGTTAAACAGGGACACTCAATAGCGTCCCCCCGCCTGCTAAATCTAGGCTCACTTCCGATCCTCCTCCTTCTTCTCCTTCTCCTCCTCCTTCTCCTTCGTCTCCTCCCCCCCCTTTGGCCTTTCAGCTTGCCTGGTGGTCTGTTAAACAGGGACACTCAATAGCGTCCCCCCGCCTGCTAAGTCTAGGCTCACTTCCGAATGCGGGTCTTTTTACAGTCTCAGATCCAAGGGGGCACATGCCCTTCCCCACCCAGACTGCTCGGCTTCGGAAGAACCAGCATGGACCTGTGGCCTCTCTCCCCAACTCTGGCTAGTTGGTTGGTTGGTTGGAGATGTAACATAAGAGAAGCATTTCTCAGCCTGCCTTCAGCTGCAGCTCATCGTCCTCCGTCTTCTAGGCATGGCTTTACACTGGCTTTAGGGGGATTTGCACCCTGCAGGGAGGATGCTGTTTCAGACTGGGTGCTTCAGGGACAGCCTTTCAAAGACTTAAAGAGAGTGCCCTGACCTGGATAGGCCAGGTAATCTTGATCTTTATTTATTTTTTTTATTTATCTTTAAATTTATACCCCGCCCTCCCCGAAGGCTCAGGGCGGCTCACAAGGGGCACAAATGCCCAAATTAAAACATTAAAACAATACAGAATAATATTAAATACAATAAATACAATTTCACTAAAATTTACTTTACGGTTCTCCAAAATTATTTAACTATAAAAGTTCAAGATTTTAGTAAACTAGAAATGTACAAGATGGAAATATAAAATTATTAGCAAAAAGCCACAATAATAACAATAAATATAGCAGCAACAATATACGTCCATACAGCGTTGACCTCTGCCAGGCACATCTTGCTGCCTGGCAGATCTTGGCAGATCTCAGAAGCTAAGCAGAGCCAACCCTGGCAAGTACTTGGATGGGAGACCTCCAAGGAATACTGAGGCCGGGAGGCCAGACGCAGGCAATAGCAAGCCCCTTCTTGGAATGTCCAGGCCCCATGAGGGGTCGCCAGAAGTCTACCATGACTTCAGGCACAGATGTACACACACACACACACAGAGAAAGACTTAAAAAGAGCAATCCTGTTCCCCCTCAACCTTCTCTTCTCAAGAACGAACATTCCCCGGTCCCTCATCCTGTCCTCGAAAGGCTCGGTCTTCACCAGCAGGATCTCTCTGCCGGCAGCAGTTCTGGCCAGACGGGCCAGAGGTGATCTCTCCACATCAGTTATCAGCTTCTGAGCCCAAGTGCGGTGCTGGTTCCGACTCCTCCGTAGGGTTGGCCAACTCCAGGGCCAGAAACTCCTGGAGACTTGAGGGTGGAAGCTCAATTCCTGCAGATCGGAGGTCAAGTGAGCAACCCCCCAATTCAGCCAACAGGTGGACCGCTCCCGTTTGAAGACAGTGCGATTCTTCTGCCCCTTTTTCTTAAGCACCTCAGAGACACACCGATGCTGTGATAGTCTCAGTTGGTCAGCCATGATGGTCTTCAGCGCGACAATCAGATTCGAGTCCAAGAGCATCTGAGAGAGCAAAAAGAGTTCCAGGCAGGGGCCATTTCCTGCGGGAGCGCACAGGAGCGGAGCTCCGGCAGTAAGGAGCCCAGGGGGCGGGCACATGCAACAAGCCCCACCCCCTGCTCCCAGCAGCCCTCAGTCAGAGCAAAAAGCAACCAGGTAAGCTGCAGAGCCCCCCCTCAGCCCGCC